CGGGTGTGTGTTCACGGTGTGTGTGTGTTCACTGCTGTGTGTGTGCACTTTGGATGGGATAAATGCAGAGCACTAATTCCTAGTATGGGTCACCATACTTGGCCACATGTCACGTCACTTTTTTTTTTCTTTTTTTTAATGTGAAATGCTGGACCCGCAACATAATATTTTTATGACCCCTTTTATTTGTTAAAGTGATGAACAGCTTGCAGTTTCTGCAATAAATATGCAAACTTATGAGTATGTTTTCACTAAAACATTTTAATGCATAAAAAATGTCATGCAGGGACTTCAGTGAACATTGAATTGAATAAACATTTTGAATCTATTCCCTGAAGTGGGTAAATTAAAAAGATTCTCAAAAATGACCTGAACTGAAATGACCTGAACCAACTTTAATGCGTTTTTGCTACTGAAGTTTACGCCAGATGTCCAGATGCATCCAACCACTGAGCACTAACTCGTGAAACCTCAGTGCTGGGACACAGTCACACACTCACTTCTATGAAAAATGTATTATATCCAATCCACCTAACCTGCAAGTGTTTGGATGGTGGAGTAAACCGGAGCACCCAGAGAAAATATGCTAACACAGAGAGGAACATGCAAACTACACACAGATAGGCAAGGAACCCTATCTATGTGTAGTTTGCCTGTTTTTCTCTGTGCTGGCATGTTTTCTCAGGGTGCTGCTTTGCTTAGCCAGTACTCAAACCAAGAACCTTCTCACTGTGAAGCAACAGTGCTACCTGCTGAGCAGAGCTGGTATTATAGTGGCCTCCTCAAATATTTCCACCTTGAGCAAAAATATGATATGAATATGAGCAAAACAAATGTGTATAATAATGTATAAATGTTTTTGATGTTCGTGCTTTTGGTATTTTAAAATATTCACAAAAATCTAACTATTAATGTCAAATATTTTTAAAAACGTAAGTTTCTGGCACGCCCTCATACAACATACTTGTTACATTTATTCATTTAGCAGAAGGTTTTATCCGAAGCAACCTACAAATGAGAAACATCACAAGCTCCTCTAAAAAGGTTGAGCAACATATGGCAAGGAATCTAGAACTGATCTGACATTCAGAAACTTTGCTGATGCTTCTATTGTTGCTCTTTTGTTAGTTTTGATTGCTTCTATTGTCCTCATTTGTAAGTCGCGTCTGCTAAATGACTAAATGTAAATGTAAAAGATTGAGCTAATTTCTTGTAGCCATCTCTTCATTTGTGCAGCTCAACCTGTTGTCTCACATGGAGTAATTATTCTGTTCTCAGGACTTTCTCATAGTGATGACTACAGGAATCTGGCCTCATATTTAAACCCAGTAAAACAGAAAATCATAGTTTAGCATTTTAGGTGAAGTTTAAACTTAAGATTAGGTTTTTGATCACTCAGGAGAACTTAAAAACATACCATGTGAATCAAAAGATACTTCAGTTAGATTTTCACTCATAAGAATTTCTAGGCACACATTTTAGGGAAAATATATTTAAATTATTTCACATTCATTTGTTCTAGAATTTTCAAGATTTTTATTTTTTATAGCTAAAAATAAAAAAATGTGTGGCCCATTATTTACCAAGGGATCTAATATTTGTGGAGGATGATATACAATGCTCTCATTCTCACTAGGCATGAGACTAGTCTAATTGCACTACTTATTCAAAACTGATTCAAAATATTACCCAGTTCTATTGGTAGGTTATGATGCTGACATTTTTGTGGCTCATGTTTTGAATTGGTTTCCTCTACTGAATATGTCTTTGAACAGTATTCAGCGCTATGCTGTGATCCCACTCTCCACCAACTCTGGTCTGATCGGCTGGGTTCCTCACTGTGACACGCTGCACGCACTGATTCGAGACTACCGAGAGAAGAAGAAGATCCTACTCAACATTGAACATCGCATCATGCTCAGGGTAACATGTCTCAAACCTGCAAAATACAGCTTCCTGTTTGCCATTAGTCAAACTCAAAACTGAACATTTTTACTTAGAAAGAAATAAAATGTTTGTCTTTTGTTTATAATAGTTTTATATATAAATAAAATATACATAGTTTGTCTATGGTTTTTAATGTCTTTAAAAAAAAAAATACATTGCCTGGGAAGGGACATGTTTGTTATGCTTACTTTTGTTGTGACCAGGTCATATTAAATCATGGCGCTTTTCCACTGCATGGTACGGCTCGGTTTGCGTTTCCACTGCAGTTTAGTACCGCTTAAGAGTGGGCGGGATTATAGACATGTCGTTATAGTTGCGCCGCCTCTAATGCCGTGACATCATCGTAAATGCGACACAAACAAACACACAACAGTGGAGCATATCGATGGAATGGTGTTCTTCATTCTCAGCATGTGGATTTAATCTAGCGGGTCTAGTGTCTCGTGTCGCAAGTTCAATGACGCAGGTAGTGACGATTCTCTCCGGCCAATCACTGATCAGCAGGGTTTACACGTCACATTTTGGTAACGGTACGGCTCGCTTGAAGGAAACCTCCCAAAAAGGAAAACCTCCCAAAA